AACCTGCTTAACTTCACTCCTTCCAAACTTATTTAAAACAAAAATTGGTATATAATTACAATTATAAATTCTATTAGACTAACTAAAAATATCTCTATCATCTCTATTAAAATAAAATCATATTCATACAGCTCTATTTACAACCAAGCTGATTTATTAGCCAAACAAGCCTCAAATAAACCTATTCTTGAAATCTCTTATACATACTTCAACCTTCCTACTTACTTTTCCTGGAATAATCATACTATAACCTTCAAAATACACTCTTTTATCAAAAATATTACTACTACCAAGAACTTATTTCATGGTCATTCCTCAAATTCTTTGATAACTATATACTGGATATAAACTAGAATATAACCTTTAAAATACTTAATTCTTTGGAATATGATTTCTCCAAATACTTTTTCTATATCAAAATTCTGACAAACAATCTCCCAACAATGCAAAATCTTAATATCCACTATTCAAATCTATATACAACAAATCAATACTGCAAATGCTCTTCAACCAAAGATACTCTTCACATACTTTTATGCCCCAAAAATACTGAAAACATTTAACAATCACTCATAAATATGACTAATAATACACTCCATCAACTTCAAATAAATATCTCTGCTACTTCACTTTTTAACTCCCTCTTACTCTTTACAATAAACTCTTCTAATATACAACCAAACTTCCTTCTTCCTACAATCCTTGAAATATACTTCAAACCAATATATCATAGTACTAAAATTCTGCTTAACAGACAAACCAAATTATTTCTATCAATTTCTCCAAGAACCTTTTAAACTAGTTTCATCAAGAAATATGATCTAAACAAAACCTTTTTTAGCATTAATGGGAAATAGTGCGTAATATTATATCCAAAACTAAATACTCTAAATTAACTCTACTACCTATCAACAATCAAACCAATATATATATACCTCACTCTTAACTAATAAACATACATGATGCTATTGAAAAATAGTATTTTTAAGATTTTCTCTATTAACTTGCTTTTTATAATGTCATGATTATCACCCCAGGTTTTTCTCCAACCTACCCTAGCTAGTACTATTTTATTTATCTAATTTAGTAATAGCAATAAAATAGGAAATAGGAGATGTAATATTACATTGGGTGCTTAGTAGTACAATTGTAGTTAGAAATCTTTAATAATAGGAATTCTTCCTTAAACCATACCTTCCTTAACTCAGCTTTTGCTAGGTTGGAGGGACTTGTTAGCCTGATCAAATAATTTATCTAACCCCTCACCCAAATCTAGGTTTGAAAAAAGAAAGAATATTAATCTTTAAATTAATTTAGGTTTTTTGTAATAAAGTTTCTACTATGGCATTATATTAATAATAATAATAAATATATTAACGCATGTCACGACATCAATAGCAATTCTAAAAAAGCTTAATAACCTCTATAGCATTGATAATCTTTATATAGAACTAGCCTTATTACATGTACATCTACCAAAAGAATACATTCAACTTGTCTGTTAAAAAATATGAGCATAAAGCTCTGTATTTAGCAAAAGCAGTTGAAAAATTAAAGTTATTTTGTTTTATTATAATGAATTGAGGCCCATTTAAGATATTATTAGGGATATATAAACAGGTGAAAGTATAAGAAATTGGAGTTAAAAAAACAATTCTCAAATAATAGAATTTACTTTTTTCTATTGTAATTAATTATGTAGCTGTGTTTATTATTTGAAGGCTGTGGTTTTTGGCTACAGAATAGTTTTCCAGACTTTGATTTCCTCTTTTCACAAATATATCTTCATATATAGTTATCTTTATATTGTTATTAATAAACTGCATTTCATGTCTTCATACACATTAAATTCATAAAGCTCATATTTATGTATGACTTGTGTTTCTCAGCTATTGTATTAATCACATAAGACTTGTGATTCATTATTTATTATTTTTTTAGCCCTATGTATCTTCATATATATTTGAACTATTGCTCTTTCAAAAAGCTTTTTTAAATCCTCTTGGTTAAGTCATTTATATAATGCATCCTTATATCACCAAATTGTTAATTTACTAGTCTGAAATAGACTAGCTTTTTGTTCTCTTAGAAGTAAATTCCAGGTATAACATTTTGATAGTAACTGTGAGATACAGTCTCCATTGTTGAGTATTAATTAGAGAAATGTTATATGGTCTTCTATGCTAAATTTGCTTATAGAAATAACTAACACAATTACCAGCATATTTTATATCTCAGTACTGGAGAACAATTTCACCAGCAACTTCACTAGACTTTTCTAGAGTTTTCTTATATACTTTGTTACCCAATAGTAGCCAATACTTCTATTCAGTTTATTATATTCTGGACTTGGTTTGCTGTTGAATATCCTGTGCATACATATACTGATTGCACAATCTATCTATACCAAAGACTAGAACAAGTAGAAAACTAGACAGAAGTGTATTTTCACACTTTAATGTATATGTGTTTATATAATGAAAACCCCAACTTCAAAACCTTAGCTACCCAATTACAGCAAGAATATCAACAAACTAACAGGTTCAAGTTAAATCCTTTTGTCACTCTTTACTGGCAATTAGAAACTACTCCTGGGTCTACAACATCTGAATCTGACTAAGAATTAGACATACAATTTCAAACCCACCTTCATCATCAAGAATTTAGCTCATAGCCAATGCAATAACCATTATAGATTATCTTCAGGCCAACAAACATACTTTGCTACTAATCCACCTGCAGCTAACCCAGCTGAACCCAATAGTAACTAGACAGCCACCTCAGTTGCCTTTAAAACCAGATTTGCACTCAGTGTTGGATCAATAAGTGGATCACAGAGCTAGATAAACTAAAGCAGTTGCCAGATGAGTCTATTAAAACTTGCTATTGCAAGTTTAGACACCTAATTAAGAGGCTAGAGCCCGAAATGAACTTGCAATACCCAGAAGTTGTATTATTTCAAGAAGTGTCTGCGTACAGATCTTCTCCCTGGTATCCTTATTCATAACTTAGCTTATCTAGATGAAATTTTAGATCTAGCATGTACCTATGAGCAAGGTACAGATTTTGCCACCAATGCCAATCCTATTGCTACCTGTTTTGCTAGAAATTATAATCAAGAAATAGAGCAACTAACCCAACAAATGCAGCAAATAAGCCTCAACTATACTACTATAGCCTCAGCTCTGGTAACGCAAATAGATAATAAGCCTCCAAACTGTGATGCCGCGATGTGGATCATCAAGAAGTGTCTGTATTAGTTGCTATAGGTGTGGTGAACCCGAACAATATAATATAGAGTGTCAATCGGAGCACTTGCCTACCAAGAAGCAATGCCACCATCTCAAGAAAAAACTCAATATTATTGGTAGCTGGAATAGAAATATTAACTTCATAAATTACCATAATTCATATGTATTTAAAATTATTTACATTGTAGCGAATCTATGAAATACCACAAAGTTTTAAAATCTGACTACTGATATGTAATATAGATTTTGATTGAGATATCATCATTTGCCGAGTTATGATGCGCCATAAGTGGGAAGGATGGGTTAGGCGCATTATCAATCTAGATCAGGGGACAAAAAATTTTTTTCGGGGCATACGTTGATCGATTAATATGTTAAATTTGGAGTTTAGATTTGGTGCCCGAATTTTAGCTTAATTTCATAAATTCGCTGTGATGTATACTATACTTCGCGAAAGCCTTTAAGACAAAATCTCAACTCAAGAATAAGTTTTTTTTTGAAAAAAGACACTTGCAAGATATTGTAAAGCATTTATTTCACAATCCGATTAATATTTCGGTACTACTTGACCCTACTAATACTGTAAAATTTGGAACTTCTAATACTGTACAAATTTGGAGCTTCAAAAGATCGATTAAAGTTCTTTTCAGCTGTAGTGTAGGGATTGAAACGAACCTAAATTACAATATCGTCAAAATGAAATGCAAAAAAAAATAAAAAAAAAGAGCAAAATTCTTACGAATAAAGACGGTATAATTTGATATGTGGAAGCAGTGTCATTTTGTAGTATTAAATGCAAAAATAGAGAGCATGTTATAGAAAAATTAATAATATAGTATAATGATAATATAACGTTGTTAGTGTAACCATCGTAAGGGAGAGCTTGCTATTGTCATGCCGAGTTTAACTCCGATGGCTGACATGAAATGGGCGATAAATTATGGTATTCGGGTATTCATGATTTATTAGGCATCTATTATAAAAAAGAATGTAAATATAAGCAACCTTTATTCATAGAGGAATATTGGGAGAGCGAACATTATCCTCAACTAAGGATGAAGACACACTTATATACATTCTAATTTTACAGATTGTCATCATGGGGGTCTCAACGCTTACGCTGTAGATTCCACATTTACTCAAGGCCCAATGATTACAAATTAATGCAATCGCGTATACGCTCTACTTTGAACGTAGACGCTCTATTTTGAGTGTAAACGCTCTTGCATGAATTAAGCCACCAATAATACATAATAATGCCTAATACTACTAAGGTAAGATTAAGTAACAACTTAAAGAATTAGATAAATACGGAAGTGATGAGACACAGGAAAAATTAATCGTTACATTAGCTATGAATTTACATATATTTTAAAATTCTATTTCTATTTAAGTTGCTTTGAGATTCAAAATCTACTTGAATTAAATCTGAATCTACTTAAGTGAATTCAGAATCTACAGAAATCCGAATCTGCTTACAACATATTTAATTTAAAGGAGCAAAATTTAATTATAATCAAAATTATATCCAGGTTTAATATAATAAACAAATAAATAAAACAACAGAAGAACTAATGATCATTTCAAAGCTGTCAACACGAACGCTTGAAGCAGCCGATGTTGGCTTGGCACTGGTAGTGGATGATGGAGCAGATGATGAACCACTTTGATTTCCAAAAGTGCCGCTTTTTTTTTAAAAAAAAGATATTGTCAGTTATTGCAAATAATTAACGAAAAGCCTAAAAGTACTTACGGCGGAGAGGCCCCAGGACCACCCTTAGGGATACTACTAGGAGTAGCACCACTAGGACCAGCAGCAGGAGCACCACTAGGACCAGCAGCAGGAGCAGCAGCAGGACCAACGGCAGGAGCACCAGTAGGACCAGCAGCAGGAGCAGCAGCAGGACCAACGGCAGGAGCACCAGTAGGAGCACCAGCAGGAGCACCACTAGGAGCAGGAGCAGCAGCAGGGGCACCACTAGGACCAGCAGGACCAGCAACAGGAGCACCAGTAGCAGCAGGAGCACCAGCAGGAGCACCACCACTAGGACTAGCAGCAGGAGCAGGGCTGTGAGATTATAGAAAAAAAGTATTAAATATATCTTAAGAATTTCAAAATAACAAACTTTAAACACTTACGCCTGAGCAATAACACTAGAGACGGTAAGAATATACAAGAAGAAGAAAATAATCGTATTATTAGTGATATTCATTTTGTATTAGGAGTGTGAACACCTTTTTTTGGGGTTATTTTTTATATTTATATTATTTTTTTATTTTAGTATTTTAGTACAAGTAGATGAATTTTTTATCATTAACATCGACTAATTTTTATAGCTTTTTTTAGTACTCTGAATAAGGGTGCTGACATTTATTACGTAATTTTTGTGGGTTGAACATGTATTATATACGTTGCACATATATAATTAGATACTATTTGAATTGGCCAATCACATGGAGCCCTTGTATGTAGTAAATGAATATTACGTAATATATGTTACAGACCTAATAGGCTATATTTATAAGAAACCACGAGCATAGATGTGCCATCTTAGTTAAAGGTGATTAGATAACTAGTTTTTCTTATTTATCACATATATTTTATTCTACATCTTCCCCAGGATCGGATTACCCTAAAAAAGTTCGAGTCACGTGAAGTAGCAGCCAATCAAAATTATCAAAATATTGAAGATTCTTAAGATTTTGAAAAATTTTTAGGATTCTGGCGAAGATTTCTCAGTAATGAATTGATAAAACTCCGGAAAATTTTTTATTTAATTCTACACATTTGTAGAATTAAATTTGGATAGAAGATTGTTGAAAAATCTTCTTAAAAATTTCGAACATCGGAAAAAATTAAAAATCAGGGTAAGGCCACGCAAAGTAAATTTTTCGTTTAACATACATGGAATCTGAAAATTTGGTCGGTCGATCGATTTTTTTTTTTCTTTTTTCTCTTTTTTTTTCAAATCTACTTTAAATCAATAGAATTATGTTCGTATTTTAAGATTATGCAAAGTTATTCTTTTTTTTGCATGACAAGGAATTAGAAAATTGGGTTGGCTGTCGTCGGTCATATCGGATAATTCCGGGATATCGGGTGTCTCCATTGGGTGATACCGGATAATAATTGCAGAAAAAATAAATAGCAAAAATCGAATAATTGGCACAATTGAGATGTAAAAAAAAAAAAAAAAAATTTTAGAAAAATTAAAAAAATGGGTAGGCGGGTAATGTTAAACGAAAAATTAACTTTGCGTGGCCTAAATTTCCTTTTTTTTTTCTTAAATAAAAATTTCTCGACAACAATCATTTTTTTTTAATTTAATTCTATAAATTAAAATAAAAAAATTTTATCGAAATTAGATAAATTAGATAAGTGGTTATTGGAAAATCTTCACTAAGAGTTTTAGAAAAAATTATAATCGCATTCACCTGATCAATTCGATCAAATTTTGATTTATTTTTATAAATATATATAATTAAAATAAAAAAATTGATTGAATTTGATTAGGTGAATGCCTAGTAATCTTCACTCAAAGCTTAGGCACATATAAAAACGATGTAACTATAATATTTAGTAAAAATTTTCAACAACACCTATCCAATTTGATAATTTTTCATTTATTTATTTTTATAAATTTACGGAATTAAAATAAAAAAAGCTTCATCGAATTTGAATCGATGGTTGTTATGAAATCTTTGTTGAAAGGTTAAATAAAAAATTCATTACAATATATTTTAAAATTTTTTAAAAATCTTTAAATGAGGAATTTTCAACAACCAATAATTCAATTTTGATAAAATTTTAATTATTTAATTCTGTGAATTCATCAAATTAAATAATATATTTATCGAAATTGGATAGGTAATTGTTGAAAATTTTTACTGTAAATTTTGGGGAAAATTTTGCTGCAGCTTCTTTTTTATGCCATGTACTGATCTACCTTAGGGATAAAGTAGTTCTAAGGTATATTTATCGCTCTTTTCAATTTATACTGTGATCAAAAATGATCGATGATCACATGGAAATCTTCAAAATTCCCAAATTTAAGGCTTTTTTGCAAATAAATCTAAATTTCTTGCTAACAAATAAAAATTTCCAAAATTCCTCTTCTATTTTCGCTTTTCAGAATTTTATCAACCAATATACAAGAGCTGGTTGTTTGTACGGCTAAATAATATGGGAAATTTCAAGCCTTTTCTTGTAT